CTTTATACAATTGATGTATGGATTGTGATAAGAGTTGTATGAGCCCCTAATAAAACGACTTAAAAAACAAAAGAATATTAACAACAAATATAAAAGAAAGAAAGAAAGATATCCAATAAAGGTGAATGCACGGGCCAAAACAAACAAACAAAAAACCAAAAAAACCCCAAAAAGAAAGCGCAGCCGAAGCATGGAGGACCGGAGGAGAGCGAGTGACTTCAGCCCTAGTCCTAGAGGGCGCGCAGGCGCAGAGAGATTTCCACGGGGCAGGGTGTCCCCGGCCGTCTGTCCTACCTGCAGTGCACCACAACGGGGCCACTGAAGAAGTTGCTGAACGCTTTCACTCGCCTCCGCAGCTTGAGGAGCAGGTGGGGGTCTTCGGGCACCCCGTGGTCGGGCCAGCTAGTGAACTGAATGTGAGTCACCTCTCTACCAGCCGTTCTTTCTTTAGTCTGGTGAAGAGACAAGATTTCCTGTGTGACGGTGTGTTTTTCAGGTATCTCAAAGCAAACGACCCATGGGGCAAGAGGAATTAGGACCAAAACACCGCACATACAAAGATAAAGCGCTACAAAAGAGGTCTTTAATAGCTTAGGCATCCTGAACTTTTTTTTTTAACCATGATGCTAGTTTACTACCCAATTAATAATAAGTCAGCATGCAGGATTGACGTGCACTAACTAGCAAGCAATAGGTAGGTTTAGCTGAAATTCCTAGGAGCTTCCATGCTGTCAAGTGAAATAACAAAACAAACAGGCAAACAAACTAGCAAACATGGGGCAGGGCTGCAGAGGTGTGTGTGCATGAGCGAGAGAAAGCTATAAAGTAAAAGCTCATCCTCACAGCTATTTGAAACATTTCTGCTTGGAAGACCAGAACACAGGACGACTGGTCACAGGATTAACACCATAACACTATAAGTCTGAAACTGTCTATTCTATTCGAAATGTAGAGAAAGAACTGAAGAAAATCAGCTCAGTTCTGGCCCGGTTTCGAGGTAACCACGTGAAGATGCGTGTCAGACTCTTCAGACTAGGTGTGAAAAGGAATCACCACACTGAGATCACAGGAGAAACAAAGCACTTTTAAAGGAAAAGGAATAAATAAAAAAAGGAAAAGAGAAAAACGTTGGCAATTATCATTTTCTGATAGGAAATAGTAAATTGATCTATTGTAATCCCAGACCAATCAATATATTGATAATAACCTCTAGATAATCACCCATGTCAGGAATTGGGGACCTTTATGGTTTAGTTAACCATCTCTTGCAAAAACAATAAACTAAACTCGCAGGCAAGGAGCTGATTCTGACTCACAGGGACCCAGGTGGACACAGCAGAACCGCCCGATGAGTTGCTGCGGCTGCAAGCGCTGCAGGAGCAGAACGCCTCGTCTCACGCCCAGGGAGGAGCCCTGGGGTATCCATGGGCCTTCATGGGCATGGTGTCTGGTAATACTGTAGGAGCGCTGGGAGAAATCTAAGATAGGACTTTTTCCCCTATAGAAAAACCCTCCAACAACTGGAGCTCTATTAAGGTATATTTCAAATACCATGAATTAAAACATGTATACAGTTTTTCATAATATTTACACAGTAATAGCATTATCACCACTGTCTAATTATTGAACATTGTCATCACCTCAAAAAAAAAAAAAAAGCAAAGAAACTTACACTCATTGGCAGTTATCCCCATTTCTGCTCACCTCCTCAGGTGCAAGTAACCAGTCTCCTTCCTGTCTCTATAGAGTTGCCTATTCTGGCCTCTTTCTATGAATGGAACCGGACGAGTGTGAAGATCTCCA